ATTTATGAAACGTGTATAACTTTTAAATTTAACAAAATGAAAGTGCATTATTAAACTATTATGGAAAAGTTGATTTATTATGTGCAATTGTAATTTAGTTGGGAAAAGCACACATAAAATACTGAAAAAGATAAAGGGGCTGTCTTATGCCACGATTTTTTATACAGAGCTTTTATCTTCAGTGTGATATAACAAATGAAGATAAATATAGTGCATTGTAAATATTTCATACTGCTTGTAAGGGCAAGTTATGTTAAAAAGGAGTGACAGGATCTTTGGGGATTTTAAGCTGCTTGTTAGGTTCCTGGGGTTTTTTTGGTTTTCATTTTCTCTGGTAGTGACAAACTGAAGGAACAAGTTACACATGCTAACTAGTTCCGGAGTCCTGTGTTTTCGGATACTGGTACTTTTTTGTCACATATATTTAATTAGTACTGTGATGATTTCAACAAATTTCGAATATATAATCTTAGTATAAAAGAGCAGGAGCTGGTTTGTGTCTTTTGTAACAAAAGGTGGTTTTTGAATAAGTTGTTTTCGCTGTCAGGGACAGTTTGGGCAGTACTTATCCATGGTACTGAAAATAATTTTGTCTTCAGTTTTATGGTCAGTTTGCAGTTGTTTATGATGCGGGTATGGTATCTATTAGGCATTGATATGAGTTGTTTGTTTCACTCACACACAAAAATTAATTATTCTATAGTTGCAGATTTTGAGGTATTATTCTGAGTAAAATCCTCAAAAGTACTGATGAGATTTGAACATCATTAAAAATCTCTCCGAATAGAGCCTAAGAACCTATTTTCAAGTGTGCAGCCATACAATATTTAGGTCCTGAGGGGAAGACAAAGATTTTAAAAAAACACACTTATGCTTGATTCATTTTTCAAGGTAGTTTTCACAGAGAAAGTTTTCAGCAGGTTGTACAGAGATCCAATATTTCACCCTCAGAAGTTTAGATATAAGTTCAGAAATGACAGACATCACAAATTTCTGGGGGATCTTTAATCAATGCATTAGCTATTAGCTACATTATGTCAGTTTCATAACATCATGATAACCATACAAAGATTATGTTTAAGTGTTAAATACATATGAATAATTTAAATAGAATTAACATAATACAAGCTTTGAACTCCTTTTAGTTGATGGAATAATTACACAAAAGGAGAGGAAAATTACAAGGAAAAGCAGCAAGGGTCAGTGAAAGATGATTGTAATTAGTACTGCTACCTTTACTCTGTGCTAAAGCTTCTTGTCCATTTACTAATACAGAACTCCAGTTCATTTTTAATTTTACTTTAGCTGAATTAGGGCTATACAAATGGACTCTACATGCACAACTTTTGTTATTTTAGCAACAAAGCTAGATTAAGTCTTTATTATTTAAATGACAACAGCACACAGCATGTTATGTGAAATATTACAGAAATAAATGAAAGCTAATACTGAATAATAGATTAATATAAAGTTGAATTTTTGAGTCTTGGTGTCATTCTCATATTTTGCTAGATAGCAAGGGTATTGAGTAAGCGACCTTTGCAATTTGGGGAGTTATTATCTTCGAAGGAGAGCTATATTTCTCAGTTCTGCATGATTGCTGAGCAATTAAAGTGTCTTTAAAAAACATAGATTACATTTTCTTCTGCAGAGTGCCAGTGACTTCAAATATTACTACATTTTAGCCTCCAAGGATATCCCAGCTATTAACTGTTCTTGACTGCACAACTCAAATGGTACATAGTTCTGTGTAGGGATGTTATAGGAAAGAAATGAAAGGGGAGAAAGGAGGAAAGGAAGAGAGAAATAGAGTGAGAAAGAGATAAAGGCTGACAGAGAGAGAGAGAGGAGAGGAAGATGACTCTAGAATAGCAGCATGCACTCTGCCAGAAACTGAGCTGTCTGATTAAAATTTCAAATTAGTGTTTTATCAGTATCAATTATAGCAAAAGCAAAAGTAACGTAGGGACAAGAAGGGGCAAGATAATAAAGTTGAAAGAGGTCATAAAGCAGTTTGTAGAGATTCAAGAAAACAATGAAAAGCATAGAAGTTAGAGGCATAAAGGTCAAGAAAGAGGGTAGTGTAAAAGCTGGCAGAGAAAAAAAGCACAGGCCTATAGAACTGGGACTGGCCGACTTACATGGGGGTTTGTGAACATCCATACCCATAATGACACAGATATGTTACTTTCTGCTGTCACCTTATAACATGATAATCTAATAACTTTCCTTCTGTCCTGTCAGTAACAAGCAAATGAGCTGGAGTAGCTGGTAAGGTTTTGGTGGTGTAAGGTTTTGATGATGTAATTTTTTCCCAAATGAGGCAGAGCTATAGTGTAGTTTGTGTTTTATCATATAAATATATTATACTTTCTGAGGAACACAGTGCTGCTTCTGTATCTTCTACCTACATATTCACTCATTCATGCATTTTGTGTTTGATATTTTCAATGCTGTTTCAAATAGCATTTTTCTATTTTTGTATTCTTGTATACAATGTAGTGAATTTTGTATTTCACAAATGTGTTTGATGTCTCAATCTATTTTGTCTTCACAGCAGAGACATTTAGCCTGAATAGTTAGACTACTCTATAACAGAGAAGGGATAAAGCGTAGTGTAATCACCTTCAAAGCACATTACTAGATATTCAAAAAGGGCTCCAGGGAGAATTTGAAATACTGAAAAGTAAGGGTCATTTTGATGGCAGTAAAAAAAAAAAAATTATTTGTTCTCTAATAAAAAGATTACTCAAACTGTGTTGGGCTGTTGTTAGCTTGAAAGAGAACAGGCGTAATTATATTCTTATTTAGTTGCACTAGGGACCAGATTTCCTGTTCAAAAAAAACCCTGAAGATATCTTAGAGGAACAGGAGTTGGTTTACTTCACTCATTTTTCTTGAGCATGAATTTCCTTACTTCAGTTATGAAGAGCATGAAGGTGATGCTTAACAAAAAGTTCTTTCTACTCAGAATCTTAATTTATTTGCTCCTTTGGTGGAACCAGATGGAATTTCATTTTCTTGTTGTTATTGTGAGTCAGGAATAGGAACAATGAGATTGGTGTAGGCCAGGATGTAGCAAATACATATGCTGACTTAGTACAGCAGAACAAATCGACTAAGAGAGTAATTACGACACTGGTGCCTGATCTATTAATTATGTTCTATCATTCAACTCATCCTCAGTGGATATTGTGATTTTAGCAAAATCCTTTAATGGTCGAACCCAAGAAGTTCAAACTGAGTGATGACAATCTGTACTTGACTCACATCATTGTGCCTCTGTCTTAAGAAGAAAAATTTGCAATATAAAAGCCATATAAATCTGTGAATGCTGTATTAGAAATAGTGCTACTGTGCAAAAAAAAAAAAAAAATATCTGGAAATGGAAACTCTATCTCTGAGCATGGGAACTTATAAATTCTGCCAAAATGATTATCTGAAATAAGTTGAGGATATCTTGCAACTTCAGGGCGACAATTAACTTCTCAGACATTTGAAAGAAGGTCTAATGAGCTACTCCTATTACTTGATTTTTACGTCATTATAGTTCACTGGAAGCAGTTCATAATTTGCATCATGGCAAACTGATGAAAGAAGAATCTGGTTCAGCAGGGGTTAAGTGGATAGATTGTTCAAAGGAGGGAATATAAATTAGAAATAGAGAAACAAAGTTTAGATTCAGCCTTATCAGGTTTCATCAGCTACCTGACAATAGAGCTGACAGAGTGATAAAAAAGATTCTGTATATATATTTCTGTACCCATCACTTATCAGGCAGTGGATGGGAGCATAGGTTTTTGTGCAAGACATGGTCTCTAAAACTGCTTTTTTCTGCATTGCTCATGCAGTGGAGGAGATGTTTTTAAATTTATAGACAGAGCTTTGAATGGGTAGCTCTATGCTACATTTTGCAGAACAGTAATAGTTGCCATGCTTGGACTTTGAACCCTGTCACAATTAGTAGCCTAAATTCTACCATTATTTCTTAAGTATTTTTTGCTAAAGCATATGATTTTGATCTTCCTGTGCCTTTGGTAATATTTTGTAATCCCCCTGTTAAGTAAAAAGTTGTAGTTTTTTTTTAGGGAAAAAAAAATCATTTTCAACAAAGTACACACAGAAATTTGCATTATTTCCACACCACAAACTTAAATAAATGTGAATTGAGATTAAATACAAAATAGTACTTTTGAATAGAGCACCTGATGTGCAACAGGTGTTAAGCATTCTGTAGAAAAATACCGTATACAAATATTTACTCAGGTATCTGGTGTCTGAAGGCTCAGATTTAAACATGAGCATGCCTGAAGATCATGTGACCAGTATTATCAGTCCTATAATCTTTTAGCTTCATTAAAGAAAAAATAATAATCTGTCAAGATTCAGCTCTACTATAATTTGAATGAGACTGCACTCTTTCTCACACCAGCGTAGATGCACCTTACGCATTATGAGAAGCCATATTTTAACATACCCAGTCACAGTACCGAGTTCCTACTACCACCAGTTCAGATTCTAGCAGTTACGTGCATTTACAAAAGCTAACAAAACATTAAAAGACTGCTGTCTGTGTAAATATTAAAGACAAAGATACTATTCATATAAGCAATGCATTATTCTCTGTGTATTTAGAGAATAGTTTCCTTTCTTATATTCTACTGCACAGTATTGTTCCCTAGTTGTCTGCAGGTCTCCATGCTGAAGGTGAAGGCATTCAGAGCCACTGTGTAAATGTCCTTAATTAGGGCTTGATCCTGCACTGTTACGGGGAGGGAGGTTGCCTAAAAACCTACAAAAATGTTATTAATATGAATGGAGTCAAA